GGTCCAGGGTCATACACAACAGAAAGCTTGCAGGGAAACAGCATCTCAAGGATAAAAGCTTATCTAGAAGCCCTAGTTTTCCATGTGAAAATTGAGTTGAGGGCTACCGTCCCGATGCCATTTGGCGAGGATTCCCCTGCACATGCAATCAAACTTCCAACGGCTTTTCTGACGAACCGGTAAAAATTGACTTTGTCTCCTCCAGGGGGTTGCTATGTAATTGGGCCTTTCAGCCAAGATTAAAAAAACGCCCAGAATTTTAAAACAATTAAATGAGAACAAAGACGAGAGCGCCACTGAGAAATTAGAGGAGACCATTTTGGACCAGTTTATGAGCCTGATGTACGGTAGGGAGGTGATATCATACAATGTGGCTTAGTAGGAAAACAAGTTATTTTGTCCTTGCCATCTGCCTTTCAAACTACCACGTTCCAATGGCTCCATAAACCCGTATTACAATTTGGCCTCTTTTTTTTCAATCGCCTCCCCTTTTTTGAAGCATCCAGCTTCTCTGCATTTGGAGACCAAAATATTAGCTTCGCTGTTGCTTGCCCGCAATGGCCCAGGCGATTTGACTTTGTCTGGGCTCAAATGAGCGCGCGTCGCCTTTGCAGCTCAAGGCATTTGCAATTACCTTCTCCAGCGCTTCTAAAGAATCCGCAAAGGAGAAGGGGGGGGGGAAAGCCCTCTCTTTTGTCCTGCAAGCTTTTGGAGATGCTTTGGGCTTTTGTTGCAAATGGAGTGGACCCATCCTTCCCTATACTTAGAACAGCAGAAATGCCAAGTTAGCTTTTCCTCGGCCATTAAGCAGAATTGCTGTTTGGCTCCCAGCAAGCATGGCTGGAATTACCATGGAGCCCTTCATCTGCTTCTCTCAATGGGCCTTGCCAACAGCTGGCTATAAATATGACAAAATAAACCCATCTCACTGTCATTCTGAAATATTGATTCACTCTACAAGCTGGAGCTGGCTTGGACTTTGCTTGCCTGGGGCTTGATTTTTGTAGCTTAGTCACTTGGGCTTCAGTTGCCACTGGAAAGGCATTCTTGAGAAAGAAAGAAAGAAAGAAAGAAAGAAAGAAAGAAAGAAAGAAAGAAAGGAAGGAAGGAAGGAAGGAAGGAAGGAAGGAAGGAAGGAAGGAAGGAAGGAAAGAGTCCCAATTATTGTCAGTCTATGGAATATGTAAAGGGCTTCCTTTAAAAAAACATTATTTATGATGTAAAATAGGGCATCTTGTGGCCTACAATGGAAAAGCTGTAGTTCAAAGGATTTCCAAGATGGCAGATATTAGCAAGAGTTTGCCTGAGAATGTACGAAGTGTCAAGCCGTATATTTTAGATTCATGTCACCCAGTTTTCACATAGGAGCAAGTTTGCATCATGACATCAAGCTATGATTTATCTAAGCAGGGTTGATTAAATAAACCAGTTAGCTGAATTTACACATCAAAATATAAAGGGTAATTTACCAACCATTGTGATATCCACCACAAACAGTAAGACAAAGCAAACCGTGTTATGAGAAGGGCTCATCTCTACAGAGACTCAAGCCATGTTCTCGTACACACTAAAATCAACAACATTCCAACATTTTTGCAGTAACAGAACAGCTGCCCTAACGAAATATACGTGGATGTGTTTTGTTTTACTTTCCAGTTGTTCAGCAGACTTTAAAAACAAAAACAAAATTTCATCCTTTTTACAGCCTGAGCGATACATTATTTAATATCCAGCATGAGGAAGCGATCCAGGGAACTTAAAAAAAAAGTGTGTTGCTAGTTTTGTGAGTGTCCTAAAATCAATAAACGGCCTGAAGTGGCATTTTCCCCAAACAGCCAAACGCCATTTCCATGAAACTTCTTTTAGCATTTCAAAAACTGCTCCTCTTGGGAGGGAAGAGACAGAAAGCTGAAAGACATCGGGCATTAAGCAAAGCCATTATTTGGTCAACCATGGTTTGGTGCATAAGTAAGTCAGTTTTGGCTAGAGAGTCCCACAAACCCAAACGCCAGCGTCTGCACTTCCAACGGGCTGGGATCGGGCAACTTGCTCAGCCAACCCTTACCAGCAATTGCCGGACGCCAGGGTGAATCTGTGCCTCCGAAGCACCCCGTGGCCAAGAGAGGCTAGTAGTCCGAAGCTCGGGAGCAGTCTGTCCGCCAAACCTCCCTCTCTTTCTCTGCTTGGGAAAACCCTGAGATTTCAGTCCTTGTCTTCTCCCGGTGGGAACTTTGAAGGAAGCCTTCTCCGGGATACCTAAGGCATCCCGGGGGCCGGCTTCTTTCGCCCCTTGCATCCTCCCCTCCCTTTAGCCCTTCAACGTCCGGCCCCTTTTTCTCCCACCGCCTCCCCTTTCCTTCCTAGTTCAGCTCCGCCCAGCTCCGCATCCTTTGCTCCCTTCTCCAAACTGCCAAACTGTTTTTCCTTCTCTTTTGCCTGCCTTCCACGCTTTCGCTGCCCCCCTCCGCCCAAGTTGCCCTCGCTGGGGGCTCCAGCCATCTAAGGAAGGAACGCAGCAGCCTGGGAGAGGATCCCGGTGGGTTTCCTATTTTTCCCCTTCAGCCCCTCTTCTTCTTCTTCTCCTTCTCCTTCTCCTGTGGCAAACTGAACTGAGACTGGCCGAGGGGGTGGGAAGAGTAAGCAGCCTCCCCAAAAAACCCCTTTAGAAACGGAATTTCTTTCTTCTGCTTCCCGTGTCTCCCACCAGAAAGAATTGCTTATGGATCCCAGCAGCCAAGAAACTTTTATCTTCCCTGGTTGCTAGCTTCTGTTCGGACTGGCACTTTCTAATTTTTTTTTTTATTTTTTTTAAACAAACAAACAAAGCAACCAACTCCTCTTCTGCAGCCCCAAAGTTCCTGGAGCTTTATTTGCACACCTGGATCTGGGTGCCTGGGTGAGGGAGGGGGAGAGAGAGAACATTCCAGCTAAGGAGCCAATATTTTAGAAGAGAGAGAGAAAAAAAGAAGCTCCTTCCATTTTTCTGTTCTGTTTTTTGTTTTTTTTTCCTCCTTCCTCAACTCCAAAGCTTGGCCAGAGATACTTTTTTGACTGAAGCCAACCAATGCCTTTTTCCTTTTCCTCCGGGCACAGGGGGTGAGAATTGCCCGGCCTGCCACCCGGGAGAAAGAAGACTGGACAAGTTCTATTTTCAAACCCCTTTAAAGGAAAAGAGCATTTCTCTCCTCGCCGGCCCCGGAGTTCAAGCCAGATGGCAGACTGGTGAGAAAGAAGACCAACGGAAGGGGAAAGAAAGAAAAAAAAAAAAAGGAAAGAGAGAAGGGGGGAAAGTCTCCACCGGTTTCCAAGATGGGCACTGCCCTTTGTGGCAGAAGGCAGAAAGGTCTTTTGCAGACGGGGTTTTGCCTCTTGGCGCTGGCCTGCCTGGGCTCCGGCGTGCTCCTCTACAGCCACCTCCAGCAGAAGGTCAAGGCCGCCGAAGGCTCAGCCTCCAAATTCAGACAGCAACAGGAAGCCCTTTCGGCCCAGCTGCAAGGTGAGGGGGGGGGGAAGCTGGGGTTCAGGGTGTGTGCGGGGTTGCTGTTGTGTTTTTTCCCCCTCCCCCCTAAGTATCCATCTGCCGGGAAGTTGCCTCCCTCCCTCCCCACATGGGCTGCCTTCCTTAGTCTTGCCACAGTGGGATGAAGTCAGAGCTCCAGCCCCGGAGCTCCCTTTCCAAGTGAGACAGTCAGAGGGGCCTGAGGCTACTAATTGAGTAGGAATCTCCCAGGATGTCAGCTTGACATCCTCTCCCCCACCCCAGCATTTCCAGGTAGGAGGATCAGGTGGGGAAGGTAACCTTGGATAAGACCCTCAAGGAAGGAAGGAAGGAAGGAAGGAAGGAAGGAAGGAAGGAAGGAAGGAAGGAAGGAGAAAGATTTGCATAGTTTTTACTTTAGGAAAGAAAGGGAGAGAGGGAGGAAGGGAGGAGAGAACAAGGAGGAAGGAAGGAAGGAAGGAGAAAGAAAGATTTGCATAGTTTTTACTTTAGGGAAGGGAGGAAGGGAGGAGAGAACAAGGAAGGAAGAAAGGAGAAAGATTTGCATAGTTTTCACTTTAGGAAAGAAAGGGGGAGAGGGAGGAAGGGAGGAGAGAACAAGGAAGGAAGGAAGGAGAAAGAAAGAAAGATTTGCATAGTTTTTACTTTAGGAAAGAAAGGGAGAGAGGGAGGAAGGGAGGAGAGAACAAGGAGGAAGGAAGGAAGGAAGGAGAAAGAAAGATTTGCATAGTTTTTACTTTAGGGAAGAAAGGGAACGAGAGAAGAAGGGAGGAGAGAACAAGGAAGGAAGGAAGGAAGGAAGAAAGGAGAAAGAAAGATTTGCATAGTTTTTATTTTAGGAAAGAAAGGGAGAGAGGGAGGAAGGGAGGAGAGACCAAGGAGGAAGGAAGGAAGGAAGGAAGATTTGCATAGTTTTTACTTTAGGAAAGGGAGGAAGGGAGGAGAGAACAAGGAAAGGAAGAAAGGAGAAAGAAAGATTTGCATAATTTTTACTTTAGGAAAGAGAGGGAGGAAGGAAGGAAGGAAGGAAGGAAGGAAGGAAGGAAGGAAGGAAGGAAGGAAGGAAGATTTGCATAGTTTTTACTTTAGGAAAGAGGGAGGAAGGGAGGAGAAAGATGGGGAACGAAGGGAGGGAGGGGGCTGTCTTTTTGGGGAACTGCCTCCCAGTCCCCCCCCCTTTCAGCCTTAAATGACTCTAAAAGGAAAGTGAAAGCAGGGCTGGAGGATAAAGGCGCTATGAGAGGAATCTTTCGGGGAGGGTCTGCCCGTGGGCACCATCTCGCCTATCCTGGCATTCGAAAAGTAAGAATGGGCCCAAAGGTTCATCCAGGCCAGCCTTTGGCCACCACGAGAACCCTGTGATTGCTCTGGGACATCATCTAAGCCAGTGTTTCTCAACCTTGACCATTTTAAGGCCTGTGGACTTCGACACCCAGAATTCCACAGCCAGCAATGCTGGCTGTGGAATTCTGGGAGTTGAAGTCCACATGCCTTAAAATGGTCAAGGTTGAGAAACACGGATTTCTAAGCAAAGAAAGTCAGGGTGATTGAGAAGGTGGAGAGAGGAGTGCTGGGGAAGGCTTTCTAACCTAGCCTTTGGATCCCAAATCCCCATAACGACAGTACAGGGAGTCCTCGACGTACGGCCGAAATTGAGCAAGACCCTTAGGTGAGTTTTGACCCATTTTACGACCTCCCCTGCCACAGCCATTAAGTGAATCACTGCAGTTGTGGAGTGAAACCTGGCTTCCTCACTGACTTGGCTGGTCAGAAGCTCACAAAAAAGGGGGGATCACATGACCCCGGGATGCTGCAACCATCGCGGCGGTCGCCAAGCACCCCACTTTTGATCACGTGACCGTGGGGTCATACTTGTGAAAAACGGTCTTTTTTTTCCCCCCCCAGCCGCACAACAGTACATAAATGGTTGTAAGCTCATGTCTTCCCACCTGATATGGCTTAATAGAAAACCAAAGTCCAATTGAGTTATCATTCTCAGCACCTGGTGGTGCCCTTTCCCAAAATGTCCGACTGAAAACAAGCGGGGCAGCCGTCTCCTTCGTGGACCCTAAATCGCGGCCAATTGCAATCACGACGGCTGGGTTTGTGCCATGTGCAGCTCACCAAAGACAGACGTAATGTGTTGGCCCGGTTCGTGCAGTGTGGAAAGGCGAAATGTGGATTGCGTTTCAATTTGGCTAAGTCAGGGTGTGATGCGCAGTAGTTACGCAAACGGCCTTTTTGGGAGCAAATTCCACAGTTGTCTGTCTGCTGATTGAAAGAGGATTTCCTTCTGTCTCCAAATCCTGCAGAACTCTCTTCCTGTCTGAAAGGTTAAGCTGTCTCCCCCCTAGGGCAGGGGGGGTCTTCAAACTTGGCCCCTTTAGGACTTGTGGAACTTCAACTCCCAGAATTCCTCAGCCAGCTTGCCCTGCCCTACGGTGTGGGTTTTGTAACATTATTATTAAATGGAAGACTTGTTGCTGCCCATTAGCCAAATTCTAATATTATGGGGTGGGAGTGTAAACAGAAGTTCTGCCATCTTCTCTCCCCTTCAAAGTGGCCCCCATTTTATTCGAAGCCTGTATTCCCAGCCACGAGGACTAGAAACATGACCTGAAAATCCTTGGGACCCATTGCTTACATCCGCGTGTTTATTTCAGCCTGCTAGTTTGTGCAGTGTTTTTATGTTTGCTTGCTTGGCACAGGACTTGGCTCTCCGTTCAGAAATTCTGGCCGAGTGCCAGTTCCGGTCATTCTGGTTGGAAAGCCTTGGCCTGCTTTTCCAGCTGTTTCCTAGAATAGATCCGCAGAGACCCTCAAAAGCCTATTTTTTTCAGATCCAGTTGAGCTTGAGCAAAAACCCTACCAAAAGGCTGTCCAGCTTTTCCAGGCTAATCCCTCGCAGCAAAACCGGCCACCAAGTTAATATTTTGCCTATAAACCGGATTCTTCAAACGCCACAACGCTTTTTTTTTGCGTGTCGTGCAAGGCAGAAGACCCGAGTTAACGAAACAGGTAACGTCCACATCACCGGACGGTGCCGAAAGAAAACAATCATGTTGGAGCTTTAAAGGAAGGCCTCATTCATCCACAGTGTCTTCACAAGGCTGGGCTTGTACAACACAACACACCGCCAATGAAACAACCCGGTTTTTTTTTTTACTTAGTCTATACTCTAGCTTGTTGTGAAAACCTCGCCTCGTTGTAAAGAAAACCTGCTGCTAATACTGAGGTTGGGGGAGCATGCAGGTGAAAATGCAATTCTAGCTGTAAAGTAAAAAGTGGGGGCTGGATTATCACAAAGCCCCCCCCCCATCCACAGAGAGAGCCTGTTTGGTATAATGATTAAGGCACCAGGCTAAAAAGAGGGAGACAGTGAGTTCAAGTCCTGCCTTAGCCTTAGCTGGGTGCCTTTGGGCCAATCACCAGGAGACTGTGAGTTCTAGTCCCGCCTTAGGCATGAAAACAAGCTGGGTGCCTTTGGGCCAATCACCAGGAGATTGGGAGTTTTAGTCCTGCCTTAGCATGAAAGCCAGCTGGGTGACTTTGGGCCAATCACCAGGAGACTGGAAGTTCTAGTCCTGCCTTAGGCATGAAAACCAGCTGGGTGCCTTTGGGCCAATCACCAGGAGATTGGGAGTTCTAGTTCCATCTTAATATGAAAGCCAGCTGAGTGACTTTGAGCCAATCACCAGGGGACTCTGAGTTCTAGTCCCGCCTTAGGCATGAAAACCAGCTGGGTGCCTTTGGGCCAATCACCAGGAGATTGGGAGTTCTAGTCCCGCCTTAGCACGAAAGCCAGCTGGGTGACGCTGGGCCAAGCACTCTCTCTCAGCCCAACTCACCTCAAAGGGTTGTTGTGTGGAAAACAAGAGGAGGAAGGTGTGTTGGATATGTTTGCTGTCTTGAGTGAGTTGTAAAAATAATAAAGGCGGGATGCAAATTCATTCATTACAAAATCCTAGGAAAGCCTCTCTCGCCTCCTGAATTTTGAAGAGCGTGTGGGCTTTTTCTCAGGAGGATCTCCTGCTGCTTCTCATCAAAAGAGAACCATGCAATGTGCAGGTTGGATGGAGGCTGTAGAAATGGGAATACTCTGAGCATGTTTTGAGTGCTCAAAAAAAGATGCGTGCCTGGCATGAAATGTGGAAAAACTTACCAGCAGTAGCCTGGTCTGCCACATTCCCCCCTCTTGCCTCACAAAGCTTTCATTTTGGCATGTTTCTAGTCCTTAGGGTGCTGCTGCCAAATGTTCTCTGAAACTTCAGATCTGATTCAACTGTTCTGTTTCCCTGCCAGGCTATCAAAATTTGATCAGGTTTTTTTTTTTTTAAACAAACAAACAAACCAAACTTTGCAAAAGGCCCAACTCCCTTTTCGAGCTTACAAAACACCATTGTTAAATATCCAGGTTTTGAAAGAGGTCTCGGTCTTGTTTTGGCTTAGCGGATGGAAAAAAAGAAGAACGGCAAGGAAGCCGTCTCCATTTTTTTTTTAAAACTCAGAGGTAAAAGCAACAACCTCTAGTGCCACGTGCAAACTGTAGCTGGCTGAGGACAGAAGCTTTTTGTGTTAGGTCACCATCTAATTTCAGGCTGCATTGGGAGTGCTTGCCAAAGTCAACTTCCCATTTCGTTTTATGTGCCATCAAGTCATTATCCACTCTTAGCAACCACCTAGATAAGACCATCTGTCCCTAATCTGGTTTTTCAGGTCTTCCAAAGGTGCAGCTATCCTAAGCAATAATAATAATGATGATAAAGTTGAAAGGGACCTTGGAGGTCATCTAGTCCAACCCCCTGTTCAGGCAGGAAACCCTATACCATTTCGGACAAATGGCTGTCCAGTTTCTTCTTGAAAACTTCCAGTGTTGGTGCATTCACCGCTTCTGGAGGCAGGTTGTTCCACTGGTTAATTGTTCTCACTGCAGGAAGTTTCTCCTTAGTTCTAGGTTGCTTCTCTCCTTGATGAGTTTCCCTCCGTTGCTTCTTGTCCTGCCTTCAGGTGCTTTGGAGAATAGCTTGATTCCCTCTTCTTTGGGGCAGACCCTGATATACTGGAACACTGCTATCGTGTCCCCCCTCGTCCTTCTCTTCGTTAAATTAGACATACCCAATTCCAGCAACCGTTCCTTATATGTTTTAGCCTCCAGTCCCCTGATCATCTTTGTTGCTCTTCTCTGTACTCTTTCTAGAGTCTCAACATCTTTTTTACATCGTGGTGACCAAAATTGGATGCAGTATTTCAAGTGTGGCCTTACCAAGGCCTTGTAAAGTGGTATTAATACTTCACGTGATCTTGATTCTATCCCCCTGTTAATGCAACATCTCTTAAAAATCCCCAAACTTTTGGCTGTAATTTTGGTGGCAAAAATTCCGGGGTTTAAATGAAACATAAAGGCTAAAAGACTAAGACAGTAAACTAAAAATACAGTGCAGGTTTGATTAACTATTAAAGCAACCCTGGATGTGGTTTCTTAATCCAGTGGGTCAAACTTTATATTTTTTCTTATATATAATTCCTTTGCTTTGAATGAGCTGAATAGGGGAGCAGTTCTGGTGCAGTTATCTTTATCCTCCTCATCGTTAGATTAGCATTTTGCTTTTTTATTTTCCAGCAAAATTCTGATCCTTAATCGCTATGGGGCAGGCAGGAATAATAATTCTTCATTATTCATTAAGTAACTGTATTTGCTGAATTTGATGGATGGAGATTTCAGGTAATTCATTTTCTGAAGCAAACTGGACTCGTATTTTTTTTAAAAAAAAGAAATAGAACTGTATTTGTTTGTTATTCCGTGCACTTCTCTTTTCAACTCGGTTGCAGTCGTTTACGAACACAGATCCCGTCTGGAACGTTCCTTGCAGAAAGAACGCAGCGAGCACAAGAAAACAAAAGAAGGTGGGTTTTTCATCTCAGATCATGATCAGTTCCAGTATGATTGAATTCTTGACATTTAAGCAGACAGAGGCAGGTTCCATGGGTCACAAGGCAGAAATGAATAGCGAAATCTTGCAGGACAGAATTGTCCAGGTCACAAAATATCTTCTGTGCCTCTTTAGCAGAATGATGGCTAAGTTTGTCTGGCCGTGAAGAATTCATACGATAATCTAGGGCGGGGGTGTCCAACCTTGGCAACTTTGAGTCTTGTGGACTTCAACTCCCAGAATTCCCCAGCCAGTTGAAATCCAAATATTGCCAAAGTTGGACACTCCTGGATTTAGGGCCAGGGTTATCTAAAAAGCTGATGGCAGAAGGGCTAGGTACAAATCCTAGAATTCCAGATGAGTCACCAATTATGGGGTACAACAAAGCTCTCCAACAGCTCGATGGGGTTGCATTGTCAAAACTCAGAAAAGTAGGTCTCAGTCCTGGAAATTGTTGCAGCATTGAATTGCTTTTTCATGGAAATTGTTGCAGCATTGAATTGCTTTTTCGTGCTACAAAATCCAGGCCCTCACCTGAGCACATCTGATATTGGTCGATTCTGTTTCCAGAAGTTGAACTACAAAGGAGCACAAGCAGATGCTGGAGAATAGAGTGTAAAGGTGTTTAAACAACTGGAAGAAAGCATTTCTCTTGGGCTGCCAGGATAATTAGATAATATCCAGGTGGTTACCAGGAACTGTGTATGTCTTGAGGGAGCCTTACCTTAAAAATAGAAGACGAAGAAAAAAAGAAATCAAGCAGACATTATGCGGTCCAGATTACTAGCCCTTTCACTGGAAGGGCACTTGTGATTGTAAAATAATCGTACAGATAAAGAAAAAGCAAGCAGCTCATTTTTAGACCATGGAAGAACTGACTTAAGAACTTTAGTAACGGTCATGATTTAGAAATTATAAAATCCTTTCCTGTTAGTTGCAAGATCCCAAAGAACCTAGTCAGTTATTAAAACGATGAATCCTCCAGGACAAAATGCAAGGGCAAAATTACTTGTGTCTCAAAGAAAGTTGCTTTGGAGGATGCACGCTTCCTATAAACGGCTGTTGGGTTTTTAATGCTGCAGTGGTACTGAACCAACGATGCTACCCTAAAAAGGCATATATGGGTATCTAGTGGATGTAAATACTGGTCTTTAAGTCGTCATAATATGAAATGTATGGAAATGTATACATGCTAAATCTTCCATTAAGATTCATCCACTGGGTTCTCCAGTTCCTTACTTGATAACTCCCAGGAATGCAGTGCATTCCAGTAACCGCTCATAAATGGGTATTATTAGACTAAAATTTTACTTGCTTGTCCAGGAATTATTCTGTTTAAATAGTAGGGACATTCCATCCTATTAACTTCATCAACTTCTCGGCAAGGTAAACCAAATTTCAGTAAAGCTGCATCTCACTGATTTCTCCATTCTTTCCTTACTTTTATGTTCTTTTTTTGTTCTGCTTTGCCTTGTAGATTTTTTAGTATACAAACTGGAGGCTCAGGAAGCACTCAATAAAGAAAAGGTAGGTAAAACTGGATCCCTTTGGAGGGCATATGTGTGTTTAAGAAAGGGAAGGAGAAAGTTTTAGAGGACTGGTCTAGATCCGAGGCATGCTGGATTCCAAAGAATATTTTCTCTTCTTTTGCTAACCCATCCTTACTTGAGTTGTCGGAAAGGGAAACTGGGAAATTCAGTGTGCAAAACCAAGTTATCCAGCCACTGTCATCTTTGCATCTTTGTGGCAGGATTTAAAGTTGTCCTTAATAAAGAGAGAGTGTTCACACAATACGTAGACCAAGAAGTTGTATTTTTAATGGGTTAAGTTTGATTTTCTTGAACCTGCAAGGGAATCTTGGTAAGTTAGAAGATTCTAGTCTTATCTGCTCAGAGGGTGATTCGATGCACTGTGTGAGTTTGGGAGGGGGTTAATTCAAGACTAGGTGCAACATTCAGTTGAAGGCCATTAAGCGATGCAAACCCAGCTGGAGAGTTGAGGAGGGGGGTTCATGCAATGTTTAAGAGACAGTAGTGAATTATTTGCACCATTAGTTGCAATCCTTGTGATTGTGATTTTCTCACTGCAGCAAGATTCTATGAACAGATATGGTGCCTTAAGTTCACAGCACAAGATACTGAAGGTAAGGCTTCTTCGTCTTGTACTTATAAATTAGGCTAGTCTGGGTAGACTCTGGCTATCTAGACATGCACTGGAGAGCACCATTCAGGGCAATGTAATCCAGCATCTTGTTTTTCAACAGCATTCAGGTACCCACAATTCAAACCTGAGATAAGCTAGGTTTCTTCAAACTCTTTATTAATCAGAGGTTTGCTGCCCTGCCTGGGATAAGAACAGGAGTCTGTCGAACGGAGCCTCCTGTTTCCAACACTGGACAGCTCAACCACTTTGGGAACAAAGGGATTTTAAAACCACAGGATCTGACTAATGTTGGCAACTCTAATTATCCTTTGCTAATTGCCACAGACCACAGGGGGGTTGCAGAAACAATGAGGAACACTGCAATCAAGCAGAGCCAGAATGGCAAATATTCCTACCTCATTCAATTTAGCACACACACACACACACACACACACACACACACACACGCAATCCCTGCGCACCAACCAACACGCTGGAGGATCCATGGATAGAAACGGGCCAGGCCAGTAAGACCCCATAAATCTCCCCCTCCTGCTGTTCAAGTAAAAGCAGCAATTATTTTGCTTGTAAACTTGGCCATGTTAAGTAGCACTGCGCCATTGCGTCATGCCATCGGGGTATCGATTATATGTCAGCATTGCTTGATGGAGCAGTGGCTGCAGCCCTGCGTGCCTTTCCCCAAGACTCACTCAGGGAGGAGAGACTTCAACGAATCTCCTGGATCAGCGTGTTCGGCTTAAATTAGAAACCGGCCCCAGAACCAGTTGCAAAATGGGCTCAGTTGGATAAGTACACATTAAGATGTAAGAAAGACAAAACGTGCCCGGTTCCGTGAGAATCTGAACCCAGCAAGTTCTTTTACAGGAAGAATTGCAATCCTACTTTTTTTTTTCTCTCCCCAACTGGATTTTATTCCTTTAGGGTGGAAATCCTCTCTGGCTGCTACTGTACTTAAATACAGGTGGTCCTCAACTTGCAACCACAATTGAGCTCACCGTTGCTAAGTGAGACATTTGTTAAGTGGGGTTTCGCCCCATTTTATGCCCTTCCGCAGTAGTTAAGGGAGTGGCTGCAGTTGTTAAGTTAATAACATAACCTTCCCCATTGACTTTGCTGGTCAGATTGTCGCAAAAGAGGATCACATGACTCTGGGACATTGCAACAGTCATAAATACAAGTCAGTTGCCAAGCGTCCGAACTTTAACCACGTGACAATGGGGATGCTGCAACGGTCATAAGTGTGAAAAACAGTCATAGCTCACTTTTTTCACTGCCGTTGTAACTTTGAATGGTCACCAAACAAACGATTGTTAAGTCGAGGACTGCCTGTAGCTTGGACTCTGCTTTTCATCTGAACCCGCCCAGTTGGGCTTAGGAAGAACAGATAAAAGTACGCAGTATAAATTGTGAAATGTTGGAAAGGCAGAAATGAGACACTGCCTTCTGTCTAGGGCAGTGGTTCTCAACCTGTAGGTCGGGACCCCATTTGGGATCGAATGACCATTTCACAGGGGTCGCCAAACAACGCAGTCCGCCATTTTTTCCCCCTTTTCCTTAGCTGTGCTGCTCCCTTTTATTCTATTGGCTTTTGAAAGCCAATAGAATAGACTCTCTTGAATAGAGTCTAATTCTATTGGCTTTCAAAAGCCAGTAGGAATGGTCCAGGCTGTCTCTGCCCTGCTGAGCCCGCCAAAAGTCCCCTTCTGCAAACGGTGCTGCACCAGTTGAGTAGTCCTCGACTTACGACCGGTTGAGTAGTCCTCGACTTACGACCGGCTGGGGATCACGGCATTAAAAAGGTTGAGAACCACTGCTATAGGGTTTGCTCCCCTGTTTTGGTCTGCTTCTCCCCAGAACCAACACGAAGAAGTCAAGAAGCAGTTTTTGGACCTGCAGCTCCAACACAACGGGCTGAAACTGGAGCATCGCAAGGCGGTGGAGACTCACAGCCAGAAGTATTCCCAGTTGCAGAGGGAGAAGGCGAATGAGGTGGTGGGATTACAAGGTGGGGAGGCCAGAGAGGGCTCTCCCGGCTCTGAACTGAGCCCAGGGTTGCAAGGGGGTGCCCCTCTTAAAGATGGTATCTGAACCCCTCTAGCAGGAAGAGGGGGGGCGTGAAAGAAGGGAGAATGCCTTTTAACCGAATTGAATTGAACTTCTAGATACTATTTTTAAACTAAGGGAGGAAAGCAAACTACTTCGCAAAGCTCACCAGGATGTTCACTCGCAGCTCCTCAATGCTCAGGTAACTCCATGCTCGGTCCTCCGTGAAAGCCCTTGGCCCTGTCTGGAGGTGCTGAACCTCAGCTCCCATGGTCCACCGCTAGCATAGCCAAAGCTAGCAAGAAGGGTCTCCCTTAACATAAGATAACTCTCCCCGAGATAGCAGATGGGCAACGGGGGACACTCCAAAGGAAAGGCCGCTTTCCTTAACCTGGGGGACTCACTGCCACTGGATAGGAAGACCATTCTGGTAGATGGCTTCTGAAAGTGGTTAGAGAAATTTGGGGAGGAAAGGCAGATCAAGGACAACTTGGGGGCCTGGATAACTGCTGTGGGGGAACGGTACGAAGAAAAAACGATCAGTCTCAGCAGCTTTATTCCCTAGAGCAGGGGTAGGCAACCTTGGCTCTTTTATGACTCGTGGACTTCAACTCCCAGAATTCCTGAGCCGGCCATGCTGAGGGGAAAGGGAGAGGTTTCCAAGCTGAGCCAGGCTGGCTCAGAAATTCTGGGAGTTGAAGCCCACCAGTCATGAAGGGAGCCATTGTTCCCCCATGCTGGCTCAGGAATTCTGGGAGTTGAAGTCCACAAGTCATGAAGGGGCCATAGTTCCCCCATACTGGCTTAGGAATTCTGGGAGTTGAAGTCCACGAGTCATAAAAGAGCCAAGGTTGCCTACCCCTGCCCTAGAGGGACTCAGGGAATCCATGGCGTGATCTAATAGGTCTCTTCTGAAGCAAGATCTAAAACTTTGGGAATTTTGTGGACAGCCTCTTCTTCGCTCTCCCTCCAGGTCCAGATGGAAGAGTTCCGGAAACTCAAGGAAACCTTTCAGAAGATGCCAAGTTTTAAGGATGCAGGAACAGCCAAAGAGCAGCAGATGCCACAGCGTTATGGTCGGCCTCCGGGATCGAGCGTGTTGCAGTTTGCTAGACCCATGGTACAATATTCCCATTTTAAGTTCCCTTCCAAAGGTTTGACCACTTGCTTTGAAATGTCAGGCTGGTCCCAGCTTCCTTTTTTTTCTAGAACCAGCCACGATTTTGTGAATAAGCAAAGAATTAGGCTAAAACAACACCTACTTCTGTTTCTCCACTGCTCACCCACCAAACTGCTTGGGAGGCAGTTTGTTTGTAGCAAAGTGCTGCTGACCCAGCTTGGAAAACAAATCCATCATGTAAGAAAGCAATTCAGATTCAAAGAGGTTGAAATTCCACGCTGGCCCCTGGCTAATTTGGGGAACAGCAGTCTCAATAAAGCTGGGGCCAGTATCCTCCGGATGTTTGCCGGAGTTGAAATCAGCCGAGGGCCAGAAATGCCTTCTCTCCAGTTTTGGCCTGCTTCATTGCAGAAGGTGAAGAAGGTTCAAGGCTGACCTTAGAGAAAGCAGTGACAAAGTCCATTTCTTCCAGATGTATTTTCTCTCCCCCAACACCATCCCCTTTCTTGGCACTCTGTAGGATACATTGTGGTGGCCTGTAATGTTCTCATTTCATTGCCATTTTTTTTTTCCACTATGTACATCTGGGGGAGGATTTGTAAGTTGCACGGGAAGACAGGAGACATGTCACTGTAATAAATAAACAGGAGATGATGGGCAGGTTATTTAACAAACCTGAGCTGCTCATAAATTTGGCAGAGATGTCACGGTGAGTTACGAGGCTTAGACTTGTGCTAGACAAGAGACAAATCCTTAAGGGCTAATCTGGTGTGGTTCCAACATCTCGTCCCCGTTAGTAGCCCAGTCCATCAATGCCAGCCCGTATTTTAGAAGACATCTTTCTCCAAATCTGAATTGTTTATGGAGCCAAAACATGATCAGCAGGACTGGGGAAACCCCAAGGTTTAGAGCAGGAGCAACGATGAAAAGAGGAGACCGAAAGTCAGCAGAAGAGCTCAAAAAGAATTGGATTTGATTCACGGGCCCTGGAAAAGGAGAACAGAATGGAGTTTTATGGAGGAGGAGTTTGCCAGTCTTTGCGGGAACCTTCAGCCGAGACACTCTATCACGCCAACACTTGTTTTTTTTCCTGGACAGTCTTTCTCAAGTCTACTTTATGCTCCCCTTTCTAGGCTTCCAAGGGCGATGGCATTAAAGCACCTTTGGGACCTCAGGACCAAGCTGTGGTTCCAGGTGGGAACTCTTTTGCCATTCCACCCCCTGGGATCAAACGTCAAGAAGAGAACCTGGTGCACGAAAACCGTATTTCACATAACAATGGAGCCAGACCCCAAGGGGACAAGCTGTTTGGTCAACTGGCCCCACCTAAGGAAGTTAATTTGCCTTTTGCAGCTCAGCCACCAGCCCAGCATAAAGATGCACCCATGGTTCGTTACACCCGGATGATGAATAGTGTGCAGAACCAGGTGAGAATATTCACATGCTTTTGGTCCAAGCATAAACTAAGTTAAATAAACTTGGACAGACAGAATCACAGAAGCCAAGTTGAGTGGACTAACGAAGTCAAGTCCATCAGCACCATGGACAGCTTCCATTAGGTGCTGCTAAGATAGCACCCTTCTACACCACACTTCCCTGCAAGCCATGGAGACTTAGAAATTGAGGACATGACGTTGTTGGGATAGGATTTATGCCTCCATCAAGCTTTTCATATGAATGTTGGCCTCCTTGCTACCATTCCAAGGTGTCTGGTTGAATAAAAACATAGTTATTGATTTCTTAAGCGAAGATAACATCTCTTTTGAGTTGAGCTCAGTGGGTTGACTCTTTGGGGCCGCATATGGAAGTGGTTTGATGAGGTCTCCTTTGATAGAGCCACCAACTCTAGAGTTTCCTCAGGGTCTCCTATCCAGATCTGGCACTCTGTAGCTTTGAAATGCATTTAAATGAGTTTGGTTAAATCAAAGTAATAGGTTCAATAGTCATGGCTGTGCATGTCATACAAATAATGCAGAAAAATCTGTTCTGTTCAATTTTCCTTCTTCCCTTCAAGGGAGGTGAGGCTGAGAGGCAATCACTGATCTAGAATCTTCCCGACGATTGAGAATTAGGTCTAAACACCACACAGTTCTTGTTTTATACTCTTTTTCATTTCAGGATCCAGAAGCAGGGCAGAACACGCGGGGGCAACATCCAGCCACTTTGGAGGAAAGTCGGGTTTCAGAAGAAAAACTCTCCAACAAGCAGAAGCAACAGGTGCAGAGGTATTTGCTCTTTCTGAATGGAAAGGCCCGGTCTGGCTATGAAACAACAGGGTGTGGTTTGCTGTGAAACAAACAGCAGTGTCCCAGGGTGATGTGATCACCTTTGGTGACCTTCTGACAACCAAAGTCAATAGAGAAGACAGATGCACTTAGCAGCCAGGCTACTAACTTAACATCTGCCTTCATTCACTTAACAGCTGTGGCATGAAAGGTCATAAAATGGGGCAAAGCTCACTTAACAAATGTCTTTCTTAGCAACAGAAATTGTGGTTGTAAATCAAGGACTACCTATACACTAAGTTACAAGCAAGCAATCTGCATTAGGGCTTAGTATACTATGTGACCTCAATGTTAACGCTGGGCAAGGGCAGACAAACAGTTTGACTCAAGCATCAAATATTTGAAGCGTTGCTATGTAAAAACTATGGCCATCGTTATTTTCCCAGATTACTCCCCTTCTTCAGATCAGCTGCAAGCTTGTTATCGCTCCAGCTCTGCCTTCTTTTCACTTAAGAGAGTTCTTCCCCTGAGCCACTGCCAAGATGCAATGCAATGTTCATGAAAGCTTGAACTGTACGTAATATTAAAAATAGACCAGCCTAAAAGACAGAGGCGCTGAGAGTGAAATGAGTTTTGTTTTTTTACAAAAATTAAAATGACGTCTGCGTTTTGATCTGGGATTTGGGCTCACGGAGGGTTTGGACCCTCTTCTTTTAACAAAATTTGTTTCCTCCTTTCCCAACAAATCTTTTATTTCCCCCCCCCCCCGGGGATGTTTTAGGGTATTTGGGATGAATGTCTTCTTGCTCCGTTAGGCACTAAGTGCAGACATTCAAGAATATCCTTGTTGAGAAAAGCATAGTGGAAGGAGAGGCAGGGAAAAATATTATGGGGTTGGCAGACAACCACTAGGCTTTGCAGGAATGCCGGTGTGCGCCTCTTGACTCCAGTTGAGAAAAGCAGCAATGCACCGCACACTGCTGGCCTTATGTCACTTGACCCCAAGATTAGTTCAAATGTCCCTCATTAAGCGGCATTAAGCAGCACTTCCAAATTGCCATGTCCTTCTGCTGGCCTCTAATTAAACAGCCACCCATCAGGCCTCGTGGAAGAAATGCAAGGAGCGATGGGACCCCCACTTCCATCCGTTATTCTGAGATTGTGATCCTCGGAAAGCAAATACAGGAAAAAAAGCTAACAAGGCTAATAACGCGCATTTCAAACATTCCTGGCCTAAATGCAGGTGACGGAAATAAAAATGTGGGCTTCAAGGTTGTGAGGATCTCCTAGCCAGGGCCACGTTTTTGCCTTCTATCCATTCGGCTGTTTCTAGCTCTTGTGGTATGTCCAAGAAGGAAACACAAAATTGTTTGATATTGATGCACAACAACAACAAAAAAATCTGAAAACTGGAGATTCTCTCCTGCAGTCCTGTGCTCAGTTCTCCCTGGCTGCATTCACATAACTCCTTTAACCAAGTCATAGAGGGGGGGGGGAAAAAACCCTGGCAATTGGTATATGCACAGTTATGCTAAATTTGGTGTTTATCTTGGTTTGCTTGGGAAGCGTTTGAATCGGCCCTTTCAGTCAGTTGATGTTTACAAGGAATCAGAAACTCTGAGTGAGTCCAGAAAATGGGCTAATTCAAAACCCAGCCCTTGTGTGAAAACAGTGAGTGTTTCTGTGCTCAGAGTTGACAAAGTCTTTTGTCTGTACCCCAAGAGAGCGCTAAGGGACCACTTTTGATATAAGAAACACGGCATTGTCCAAAAGGTATGGGAAAACAGTGCTTGTAACGGTCGCTTGCCTCCACAGCTTGCAAGAGAGAGTCAGCAAAGGCAACTTGCAGATGAACGATGGGAGAGTTTTTCCTTACCCACAAAGCTATCGACTGGATGCCACCGTATCTGAGCAAGGCAGGACAGATGGCAGTCAAGCACAGACAAGGGGGCCTCGGCACACCATCTGGGGAACTGAAAAAGGAGGAGCAGATGACAGAGATCTGCACGCCGGTAAGACTGAAGAGGATGGATTGAAAATGTGGCGAGGTTGGTCCCATTGTCAGAGACGAAGGAGAGGAAAATTGTGTAGAGTTTCTTCAAGATACAACGGGGTCTGAGTTATGAGGATAAGGTTGGGGTCCTGTTATGTATTGTCTTAGATCAGTGTTTCTCAAGCTTGACCATTTTAAGGCATGTGGACTTCAACTCCCAGAATTCCACAGCCAGCAATGCTGGTGTGGAATTCTGGGAGTTGAAGTCCACATGCCTTAAAATGGTCAAGGTTGAGAAACACTGTCTTAGATGGACAGGTAGTGAGTGGGACAGCCCAAGTAGATCTTATCCAGCTTCTAAAGGTCCTTCTCCACCTTTTCAAGGTGAGCCAAGGTGGACTTGAACAAGTTTCCAAAGATACCAGAAGTTGGGCTGACTTTAAGGCTTCTTTTGTTATATTTATATCTCACTTTTCCTCAAAGTGCGTGCTTGGTTCCATCTTCAGCTGAGTCTTCACTTCATAGCGAGGGTCAACCCATAGGCAGCCAGGACAGGGGACTTGACCTTATTTAGATATCCTCATTCTTATTCCAACAATTTAGCCTTGATGATCTCCAGAAGCATGGTCTTTAACTCCCAGAATTCTCAGCCTTGGCCATCCTGGTTGGAGAATTCTGGGAGCAGAAGTCCTTGTATATGGTAACTTCTCAGCTTGGGGAAAAAAAACTGCTGTGAGGACATAGCACACTATCTTTTACAATACATCCTCCACTTTACAATCTAAAATAATTTGGGATTTCAAGCTGTTGTCTTTCCGCGGTCCGAAACGAACTCTTCAACTGTGGCTCCATTCTTCTGTGTGGAAGCCATAGCAGCCTTCCAGGCAGAGGCACAAGGGACAGATGCCCTGCTGGCCCAGAAAATGGAAAAAGCCAAGAGAGAGTTATAAAAGCTGCTCAACACCTACAGAGAACATCGACCTGGCAGAAAATGGAACAGTGAGAAAGCAAATCTCCTCTGGAATGTGACCGGCCCCAGGCAGGTGGCTCTAGTTTTGCAATGTAAGCTGTCTGCAAGGAGTATAAATCCTTCCATTCTCCCACCATCCAGTCAGAGTTGAAGAAGCTTCTTGGATGAGAAGCGAAACGTCTTCAAAAGAAAAAGAAAGTCCAGTTGCCTCTTGGAAAAAGCACCTTTGGGACAATCATGATCAGTAGCTCCAGCAACTAAATTCCAGGCACGCCTGTGCTTTTCTGGGTAAGCGGCGGTCACTACAGAGCCAGCCACCGCAATGTCAACACTAGAAAGAATATCAACACACCCTCAGATACATCAGTTGGAAATTGGATGGTAGGAACAATAGAAAAAAGACATTAAGAAACTGGTAGGGTGGCTTGGGCCAAGAAATCTGGAAGTAGGCAAAGTCTTATTAAGTTTTTTTTCCACTCTTTTAATTCCCCCCCCCCAATGTTTATTGACTTTGCTTTGTTCAGACGCTGGCCTGATGAAGAAAGAAAACCACACATACCTACAGAAGGAAGCAATTATCCAGAAACAGATGGTAAGCAAGGATGCTTTTCTCCTCCCCATGTGTAAAGAAGCAACTTGGGATTTAAAGCAAGGTCTGAAAGGTTATTTTTTTCTGAAATGCTCAGGAGTTATTTAGATGGGAGCAAACTCAGGCTTCAAATGAATTAAGAACTGCCAAGTCCAGCTGGCAGTCGCATTGGGCTACAGTTGAGAGGGGGGGGGGAGAAACAGGATTTAAGGCCCTCTGGAACAGCTAATAGCTTTCTTTCTCAATTTCTTTAGCCTCTGTTCAAAATCATCCATGCTAGTAACAACCGTCACATTTTCCAGTAGAGAGTTCCAAAATGTAATTAAATGGAGGGGGATTTAGTGTTTGCCCAATTCAGTTTGCTAAAGAAAGCACTGTGTGCTGAACATTATGCAAACACCGTTGTATTTTGCTAAGGGAGAGGGGGTAAGGCGTGGTGGGAACCAACCATGGTTTGACTGGTTCAGTCTGTCTCTTCAGATAGACCGATGTTAGCGTGATTTAAAAAAAAGGGGTAGGGAAATTCATTTCTACCCCACCACACACACCAACACAACGGTGTACATTTTATAAACTACTGACAAATTCTTTTCCCTTCACAACTGAAATTAATCCGCGTTACGGACATAGTTGTATATGGCCTTGCGTTGGTAACACAAACATTCCTTCGGCACAGAAATATTTTTAACTAAAACCAATACCATATATTAAAACAGTCTCCCCGGCTTCTCTAGGGCAACAGTTCTCAAACATTTGGGGTCCCTTTACATTCTTCAAAATGACTTGAGGAGCTTTGGCTGATGTAGGCTATGTCTGGAAATTTTAAAATGTTTGATTTTGCAGACCCCCCTCTGAAATGGTCTTAGGACCTAACCCCCCCAGAACTGCTACTCTAGGCACCAGGATGTGCGAGGCTAAAATTTGTGAGGTGAGGATGCGATGGCTCAGCAGTTAAACAGGTGGAATTGTCAGCTGGAAAGCGGGCAGCCCCGGTTTGAGACCTAATTGCTGCACAATGGGTTGAGCTCCTGTTGCTTGCTCCAGCTCTGTGTTCCCTGGCATATCGTCACGCTGGCCACATGGCCACGGAAAGGGTCTTCGGACAATGCTGGCTCCCTCGACTAAGAAGCAGAGATGAACACACACACACATCCCCTAGAGTCAAATACAATTAGACAGGGGAAACCTTTACCGTTACCATTTATATCTAAACTATCCAAAAAAAAAAACCAACAACCACAAATAGATTCCCTTGCTGTCTTTAAATTTCGTTATACTGCATTTGTCTCAAGAGTTCAGGATCCCCCTCCGATAATTTACCTTTTAAAATGAGAGGGTTGTATTTGATGGGCTGACAATGAAGCACAGGGGTGGAAGTTTTCCTTCCATGATCTTCCCTTTTCTGGGTGAGTAGAGTCACTTTTAATTCTGATTTGTTTTCTTTTGAGTAAATGTGGGAGAGGCAACTGGAGCAACAGGGAAGGGTGGTGTGGAAATAGAGAAAGCGGAGTCGTATGAGATGGTTTAAAAATGCCCATACCAGAAGTTCTTAAATTACAGATACCCGTTCTGTACAAAAGTGAGCTTCGACGTCATTAGGCATCAGGTGACGCCTATAAAGACAAGCAGAGATAACCTCGACAAAGATATTCTGGAACTGCCGACAAAAAGAAATGACACCTCGGTCCTTGAATAGGAAAGGTGTGACCAAGACACTCGAATAACTCCACTTTGATTTTATTTGGTCTAAATGGGGGCAAAACCTCTGGCAGGCTTTCGAGATTCTGTTATTTCAACACTAAAGTAGTGTTACTGGAATCCGTGGCGAACAGTCCCTTTCCTGACCTGGCTTTACCTCGAAGGGCTGACCCCTTTTATAAATGACCCTCCTCTTCTCTCAGGGACCTAAAGATGTTGCTGATCCAGCTCAGGATCCCAACAATCAAGGAGAAGATGAGTTTGAGGAGGCAGAACTGGAACGGCCCGGCTTCGAAGAAAAAACGGATCCGGCTGAACAAACCCGCCAGACAAATCGGCCGGCGAACGCTGTGAGCAAGGAAAAGCTTCCGGTTCGTTTTATCCCTCTAGACTTAGAAGGTGGGTGGAGGGACACAGACACCAACATGAAAAGGGAAGATGTTCGTAGTCCAACCGACCGCAGAATCCCCCGCAGGGTGGGCACTGGGATCCAGAGCGCTGGGATCCTTGGTGATCCCTCCGGAGAAAGGAGCTTCTGGTGTTTTCCGATTTAAAACAAAAGTGTCACAGTTTGAACGTGGCCTACTTGGGTTCCTTCAGTTGTAAATAGTTTTGAAGGGGATGTCTTGGCCTCAAAGAGGTTTAGTTTGGCTGGGCTGAATTTTCAGTCACGTCAAAACATATGGGGATCCTGAGGCCGTTGGCCTTTAGCCATCGCAATCCCGGCATTTTAAAGACCTCTTTATTTCTTAGCATTTCATGTGACTAACTGTATTTTGGTGTGTGCTTTGTTTCCCAGGGAGCTGATCGGCCAAATAAAGCCACCGACAGTTTAATGGATGATTATCAAGAGGATCAAGAACAAGATCCTGTATGAAGCTTGGGCGGGTTTTTTTTCCCCTGTTTTTTTTTTTCTCATAGGCCATCTTTCTGTGAGCATGCTGGTTTATGGGTAGAGGTTTCCTAAGTGCGGATCTGCTTTCAAGCGAGACTGGTTGCTTAGGGCAAGTAAGGGCCCTTTCCAGGTGACCACGCTTGCAAATTTGGAATAGAACGTGGTTCTTTCCTTCTCTTGGTTGTCGCAGATTTCTCGACGACAACATTCCCTTTAGGTAGCTTAATGTTACAAATCTTCTCAACGATCACCCACAAAGATAGGAGGGTCAGGCAACCGTGCAGCTTCCATCGCGTGTCCATTCATCATCGTTCAGATTGTTCTTTCTTCTCGTGCTGGCTGGGTTGTGGAATCATCATTCCCAAAGCTTCTGGAGGGCACCAAGCATGGAAAGGCTATGAAAGCGAAGCAGCTGGGATCAGTCCGTCCTTGAGCAAGGCGAGGGGACAAGGAGTTGTGAGTTGGGCGACTCTTTGGCACTTGGGGAAATAAGCCAAGGTCTGTCTGCCTCACCTTGACACCCAGGCAGGATATTTGGGAAGAAAGCAAAGGAAGTGTCTGCTAGGGCTGTCCATTTGATTCTCTCTGGGATTGATTGGAAGAGTAACAGAATAGAATAAAAGAGAATAAAAAAATTGGAAGGGACCTTGGAGGTCTTCTAGTCCAATGCAGAAAGCCCTAGACAAATGGTTGCCTAATCTCTTCTTTAAAACTTCCAGTGTTGGAGCACCCACAATTTCTGGAGGCAGGTTGTTCCACTGGTTAATTGTTCTAACTGTGAGGAAGTTTCTCCTTAGTTCCAGGTTGCTTCTCTCCTTGATGAATTTCCATCCGTTGCTTCTTGTCCTGCCTTCAAGTGCTGTGCTCTTCTTTTTGGCAGCCCCTCAGATATTGAAACACTATCATGTCATCCCCCAGTCCTCCCTTTTCTTTAAACTAGACATCCCCAATTCCTGTAACTGTTCTTTAGGTTTAGCCTCCAGTCCCCTAATCATCTTGGTTGCTCTTCTCTGCGCTCTTTCTACTTCCGGTTTTCTTTGCAGGAGGACCATGGAGGCGAGGTCGGTGACCCTGAAGATTTGGAACAGTTCCATCAACCCAAAGGCCATGTTGGAGATGTTGACCGAAAAGAGGACTACTTTTGACCATGGGCTGGGAGGCAGCACCAAGCCACCAAGTCTGATCCAAACCAAAGACTGACTGTTGCAATAAACTTGGGCTACTTTAGTTGAAACTGCCCAGAGAGGTGGAAAGTTAATTCCCATCTGTCTTCAGAAAGTCACTGGCTGCGTTGACCAATGGAGATACGATATTTCCCCACCTCCTGTTAGTGAGGGCAGGACTGACACGCAGTGCCAACCTGCCCGAATGCTACCGTGAATACAAACATCAGAATGTTTCTTCAGGGGGGTAAGGAGCTCAAAATATCAAAAAATCAAGGATTGTTTTTTTTTTCCCTTTGGAAGACTCCTATCCTCTTACTCTCACTTGGACCATAGGCAAAGCCTTGATGTAACGCAGAAGTACTGTTACAGTTTGGGCTACTTGCGTTTCCTTCGGCCCCGTTTCAGATTTACCTGACTTCCGTTCCGAGCAACCTCATCACCTTTCTATGTATGTACATATATAAAAAGAGGGTCTATTTGGTAACAAGGTGTCCATTATTTGTCCAGTTTTGTTATGGATCAGTAGCGAGGGGGGGAACTGTCATTGTTTCGATATAACGGGAACAGAAAGAGAGCTCAACCGGAGTCTGCTGCTGATTGACAAATGCGTAACAAATGCAAAGGCAGGCATGTTTATTCAAAATGGAGTCATCCTTCTGCAACTGACCATGTGGGAACTTGTGCCAGCAAGCCATTTCCGATTCTTTAAAGGGTTGAGAAATATTTGCATTTTTTTTTTAAAAAAAAAATCACATTGGGAAAACATTGGCATCTCTTAACACCTTTGTGGGAGAGTAATTTTCAAAGGCCGAGGTTTGTATAATGATTAGGTTGGGCAGCTGGGTGTGAGCTGTTCGGAAATGGAGCGCCCACTAAATTGCAAAATTAGACAAGGCTGGCCAGTTTATCAAAGAGGAAAAAAAAAAAAGAATAACAAATGTGTCATGGTTCCGACTAATGAAACACTTCAAAGAACTTCCAGGCATGTTTATCCTAAAGCCTTTATTACCAGTGTTACAAATTGACGGCACATCATGGAGGTTTATGCCAGAATCTGAATTCCTCTTGCTGGCATCTTAACTTTTCTTGCTAAACCCCTCCCTTATCTTGCAGTCACAAGTTTGTTATTTCCTCTCCCTTTTCTCTGTCATCTGAATTAACTCTAAAAATACCAGACAGTTCTGCATATTTTGTCAAAGCAGGAATATTCAATATTAGCAGCGTTGACAAAATACCTTTTCTCCCGTTTCCGACTTTCAATCAAAGGGAGGGGAGGGGCAAAACTGGTTCACGTATTTATACCATTAAATGTTGTAACACTGCTGGAATGGAACTGGAAATTAGGACGCTGTTGATGGCTCATGGTCTCTATGGCAATTCCCCATGTTGGCTGGGGAATTCTGGGAGTTGAAGTCCATGAATCTTATAGTTACCAAGGTTGAGAAGCATGGCACTATAGGTTGGGGGATACACTGTGCTCTGTGTGGAAGATCAAAATAATGGCACATTGGAGGGGAAAAAAAAATTGAGATTGGAACCCAGAACAAACAAGTATGACTATAATGGGCATGTAGAACTAGAAGACTAACCATTGCAAATTACCTACGTGGTTGAATCGCTATGGAAGGCCAACATAGAACATAGAATTATAGGGCCGGATGGGACCTCAGAGGTCTTCTAGTCCAGCCCCCCTGTTCAAGGCAGGAGACCTTATACCAGTGTTTCTCAACCTTGACAATTTTAAGGCATGTGGACTTCAACTCCCCGAATTCCACAGCCAGCAATGCTGGCTGTGGAATTCTGGGAGTTGAAGTCCACATGCCTTAAAATTGTCAAGGTTGAGAAACACTGCCTTATACCATCCCGGTCAAATGCTTGTCCAAATGCTTGTCCAAGACAAACCAGAAGTTAAATCAATATTTGTATTTCTCCGCAAGCGAATGTATATTCTCCTCTTTGAGTGTCTGCCAAGAGACCTTGTGGAAATGACCCTTTTTGTTGCTTTTGAGAGAAAGGCAATGAGACTGTACAGAAGAGGCAGACTAGACTGGGCTGTCTGGAGGGCTCCAAGTTGGACATCAAAGGAAAAGTGTTTCAAACAGAACGACTTGGGACAGCATCAAAGGTCACCTCTGCAGCCCCTCGGAGACCACCAAAGGATAACAGGAGCTGGAGTCTCTTAACAAGAGAAGAAGTCGGATTATGGAAATGCTGCTAGGCTTCCATAAACGTGTTAACCAGAGAGACGAGGCCTCTTCCAAATTTTGATTTAATGCATCCCAGTCCCTGGCTGCCTGCTATAAATAGCGCTTTCCAAACAGATTAATCCGAAGCTAAGTCATCTGCCTGGCCACGTAGCAGGCAAGCCACGTTTCCAATTCACTCGGGGGTTGCAAAGATGTGAGGCCTTTCACCAGCTGCCTGATCAAAGCTGACGTAGGCTGGATGGATTCAGGGTGGTTGGCTTCCACCCAAAACGCCCGCTGAGAAATTAAGAGCAAAGGCCGATTTCCCACTTGGACACTCCTCCTTCCCTCCCTGCTGTCCATCCCTTTTAGAGGGCATTTGTGGTGGGACCAACAGGCGGAGTCACCGTTCGGAGGGAATCTCAGATTTGTTCCGAATTGCTGCCAGCAGCAGAAATAAATACCACAGGTGGAGCTGGTAGCCACCTTCTCCAGTCCTATGTTCTCTGGAGGCATTAGCTGACATCTCTGGCCCTCCCAGCTGGGGAGAATGGGAGATGTAGTCCAAAGGCCTCAGATCCTGTTCCAAGATCCTGTGCCTTTGGAAACCGTGATTGAGAGGATCGTTGCCGAGCTGAACAGTAACGCACAGTGGAAGAAACTTCCTGGCACCATTGAAGGAAACTCTGAAGGCAAACGGCTGAGGTCCTGAATGAAGTTTACAGTTGGAATATTGTAGAAAGGTTGCAGGGAAGCAATCCCATGCCCTGCAGATGTTTTACACTATAACTATGTCCCCGACTGGGGCCGGGGTTAATGGGAGTTGATACCCATGTTTGCCAACCCTGTTTAGGCAGAGCTGCCTTTGCAAGTCACAAACTTCAACGGGTAGAAAATCTGCTGCCGGAAACGCGGGCGCCAACTGGCAGAATTAATGAGCGGGTTGTTTCGGAATAAAATTTCAAGGTTGTTTTTTTTGCTTTAAATTGGAAGTGCACATTCCCTAGGGGGAAAACGGTAAAACTTTTGGGATTGGGGGCTAGAGCGAGCACAGAATATATGAATTTTTAAAGTATGTGTTGAGTGACCCCTGGTGGGCATGTCACAAATCACACTTTTTATCAAAAAGGAAGCTGGGACCCACCAAACTGCTAAAAAACTTTCTACCTTTCCCACAAAACTTTTTCCCCCTGCCGTTTTTTTTTAATTGCCAAGGGATGCTCGGTGAATTTTGGAAGCTTATTCAAGACACCAGTTAGCTAAACCAAGGATGTTGTGATGTGAATTCAGCCTTTAAGCTCATAATTGAATCCGGAGTAATGGCTTCCTTTTTAGAGCTGAAAGGGAAAGAAATGGCCCGGCTCTGAAAACTATTATTTTAATCTCACAAGTCTGCTGAGTCTCTTTAGGCCGAGCAGATTCTAAATTTGGCTTCATTTATAGTCAGGACAGCTCGGTGTCCCTGACAAGGTTTTATTAATGTCTGTTTGCAGAGAGCTGGCTGTTCCTAGAGCAGGCACTTTCTGCAGAAGGAGCCAAATTCTGCCTGGCCAAATTCATGCAACGGCGGCGGGCATTTTTCCAAAGGCCCCCAAAGTTAAACATTGCTCTGGATGACAGCGAGAGAGAGGATCTCCTACAAGTGGAAATAGAATCTAAGTAAGGCACTTCCAAGCAGTTTTCTTCCCAAATATTTGGGCCCTTCCCAGTCTAACCAAAGGTCTTCCTAGCTTAAGCTTCTGGAATGAGAAGCGAAACGTCTGGGAAGAAACAAACCAGGAAGTCCAGCTGCCTTTTGGAAAAAAGCATCTTTGGGACCACCAGGATCTGAATGACGGAGCATCTCCACCGACATGCAACCCGCTTGATTTTCACGCGCTTCCGAACGTCAGAGGCTAGCTTTGGGCACCACCGCAGAGGGTGCGAGCGGCTGAGTTCACACGCAACCAAGCTTTGGAGAGCTGGAGCAGCCCGGGCGGGTTCTTCGGGGGCCGGAGAGCCCCCCCGCCCTGCAGCGTCCGGCAAGCGGCCAAGCTGGCCGAGAAGTAGCGCCGAGAACATTTCCAGCCACTTCTCCCCAGCTCCGCGCCCCCCCCCTCCACCCCCGCCCCCGGGAGGCAGGGAGGCGGGGTTGGCCCGCCCCTCCCCGGGCGGAGCTGCCAGGAGGTGTCGCGCCGTCTCCAAGCGGCCACTTTGAAAATGTCTCCGCCGCTTTGCCGGGAGAGGCGAGCGGGGTCGGCGGTCGGCCCGGCCTGCCGAGCCGGCTTTGCGGGGGCGCCGCGCTAGAGACCTCGATCCAGCCCTGCCCATGCCCCGGCCCGGCCAGCATGTGGCCTTTCCGCCTCCTGCTGGCCCTGCTGCTTGGCCCGGGACGCGCGCCGGGCGCTTGGGGAGCAGAGCGCAGAGCCGGGGAAGAGGCGGCGGGAGGCGGCGGGGAGCCGTGGTGCCCTTACAAGGTGCTGAGCGAGGAGGGCAGCCCGGGCCGGCTGTGCTTCCGCAGCCCGGCGCGGGGCTTCCAGTGCGCTCCGGAGCGTTGCACGGCTCACCGCTCGCCCGGCCGCGCCCTGCTGGCCAACGTGCTCCGCAACGGCAGCGTCCTGCTGCAGTGGGCCTCGCCGCCGGCCGAGCGGCTGCCGGCGCTGCGCGGCTTCGCGCTCTCCTGCTCGTGGGAAGGCGCCTACACGCGTTTCCAGTGCGACAGCGTGCGCCTGGGCACCGCCTGCCGGGATTACTTGCTGGCCGACGCGCACGGCAGCGTCCGCTACCGCCTCTGCCTCCGGCCGCTCTTCGCCCCGGCCAACCGCAGCGGGGCCGAGGCACCGCCGCCGCCGCCCGCCGCCGAGTGCGTGGAGTTCACCGTGGAGCCGGCCGGCATGCGGGACATCGTGATCGCCATGACGGCTGTCGGGGGCTCCATCTGCGTCATGCTGGTGCTCATCTGCCTCCTGGTGGCTTACCTGACCGAGAACCTCACGCCCGCCTCGGCCAAGCGGGGCAACTGAGCCGGCCGGCCGGCCTCGGCGGCGGAGTCCCTCCCCGGGGCGGCTCAGGGCTTCTTCCGCCGCTTTGGATTTCGCCTCTGGCCCAGATCCACCCACTCCCGGTTAAGTGTACGTTGGATTGCAGTACTGACCGTCCGTTGAGTAGCCACGGCTACCTACCTATTCATGTGCACGTAGGAATGTAAGAGACTGCGAAACGGGTGGAAACTCATCCAGGAGAGAAGCAACCTAGAACCAAGGAGAAACTTCCTGACCGTGAGGACAATGAACCGGTGGAACCGCCTGCCTCCAGAAGAGGTGAATGCTCCAACACTGGAAGTTTTTAAGAAGAGACTGGACAGCCCTTTGTCCGAAATGGTGTAGGGTTTCCTGCCTGAGCAGGGGGTTGGACTAGATGACCTCCAAGGGCCCTTCCAGCTCTATTCCTGCTCTGCTCTGCTCTGCTCTGCTCCGCTCCTCTATTCCATTCTATTCTATTCTATTCTATTCTATTCTATTCTACTTTCCATATTCTATTCTATTCTATTCTATTCTATTCTATTCTATTCTATTCTATTCTACTTTCCATATTCTATTCTATTCTATTCTATTCTACTTTCCATATTCTATTCTATTCTATTCTATTCTATTCTATTCTATTCTATTCTATTCTATTCTAACCAAGGAGAGAAGCAACCTAGAACTATGGAGAAGCGTCCTGACCGTGAGAACAATTAACCAGTGGAACCACCTGCCTCCAGAAGCAGTAAATGCTCCAACACTGGAAGTTTTTAAGAAGAGAACTGGACAGCCATTTGTCCGAAATGGTGTAGGGTTTCCTGCCTGAGCAAGGGGTTGGACTAGATGACCTCCAAGGTCCCTTCTAACTTTATTATTATTATTATTATTATTATTATTATTATTATTATTATTATTATTATTACTATAAACAACATGGAACATAAATGCTGACCAAAGTAGGCTGATCGCCTAAAAGGGGCAATGGCAAGGCCATTTCAGCCACAACAAACGAGCGAACGCGTTGATTAACTTCTATCCCAGTTTTTCCCATCCCATCAAGGACCCCAGACGTCTTAACAGTAAAAAAAAAAAATACAAGCAAGGAAAAACCTGTGATTAACACGCCTCTTGGGTTTTAATCTGAGCAGTTGTAATATTCCCCCCCCCCCGATCTATAATCGGACTCATATCCCAGTGCGTGATGCAAATCCGAACGGCTGTGGTTTATTTTAATACTTTATGGTTAAGGGATGACTTAAGCGGTTTTGGGAATCCAGAACTCTAGCCGTAACTTCAATGTTCAGCTGGGGGAAGAATAGCTTTGAGGACATTTTTTTTCTTACAAAATTGCACATCAGCTAATTAACCTTGCAAATATGTATATATAACATGAGAAGCCGTTACCGTGAAAGAAGAAAATTAACTTTGCAAGGAATGACAAAGTGGGTTTCTGGCTGAAGGTGTCAACATCTCACTACTTGCAGGCGCTTGCTTGCTTCGGCTTCCATTCTTGGCATCTTTGGGGTTGACATCCAAGTTCGAAGCTGAAAAGAAAATTAAAGTCAGGACCAACTCAGATGTTCTACTGCCTGAAGCAAAGGGCAAAAGGCTAGAATAGTAGGGGTGATACTTGTTTTGTATGTGTGTGTGTGTTTTTTTTTAAAAGCATTGATTCATCTATATAGCCTTTTTATTCTGTCTCCAGGTAAAAGGGTGACAGAATGATTAATATAAAAAGGCAGCTTCTATCAGCTTGTTTACAATCTAAAAGAACCTGAAAGGAAAACAAAACGGGCAGCAAATGAAAAGCCCAAATGCCAAGTTAAATGTTACAAGCGCCTGATAGAACTTAGTCTTTCAGCTGGCTGCTACGCAGGATGTTTAAGGGCTCTGAAAACTGAGATTATATCACAACATTCACGTCAGATTGTCATTCTCTGCTCTACCCCACTGCTTCGGTGATGGCGCCAATGTAGCCAGGCTATGTTAATCATCATTCTGTGCCTTCAGGCTGAATGTTGTCCTTGCTTTTCCCGGTTTTTGTTCTACCGCATAACCAAACTTCTCCACTACTTGTAGTCTCTTTCGCTAGGGGAGTTTGTGCACTTTTAGATTTGATGTCCACTCGTTCTTTTCCCTTGTGATCCCAGTGGAAATTAAGGGAGCCCAACAAATGTGTTGAGTGCCTGGCTGCATCTTTGTTTTGTTATGGTTACTGCTAGGTTTGGTTTTTTTAAAAAAAAAATAAAATAAAATAAATGCTTTGAGGAGCAAGATTTTTCTTTATTACCATGCAACATGAAGCAATGGGTTGAGAGCCACGTAAAGAAGGGAAGCCTATTGGCTCTCAGGCTTCTCCTTCAAGAACAAATAAAAGTGGATTAAAAAGAGAGAATGGGTCAACTTTTTTTTTTGTTTGCTTTTGCATGTACCTTGGTACAATTGAACCACAATCCCAAGTTTACAAAAGATGGGCCTCAGATGCATCAGTAGGGATGTGGTTGCTCAAGTAACATTTGTAACAACAAGAACTTGAGGCTGTGTCCTGTGTCAGCTTGTGTTGGATGCCATCGTCTCACGTTGTAGTCTTAACTTCCGGAAGGATATGGATCTACTTCCTGTCTGCAGATGGGTATTTGAGCTTTCATCTTCTCATTTTTCTTGAACTCGGCTCCTCTAGTTTAGGGGTGTCAAACTCAATTTCATGGAGGGTTGTGGTTGCCCTCGATGCACCCAGGGGGTGGGGCTGACGCAGCAGGGGCTGGTTCCTCACTGTTTCCAGATGGCCTTGTGGAGCTAAGACTGAATGCGTTTCAGCACAGAGGGCCACCACAAAATTGTACATTGGCTCCTGGCTGGCCTGGGACAGCGGGGGCTGTTTCCCTCACTGTTTCCAAGATGGCTTCGTGGGCCACATGAAACCGCTTCGCGGGCCGCATCCGGCCCCCGGGCCTTGTGTTTGACATGTCTGCTCTAGTTTAACCTGGCCTCATCTCTAGCTCAACTTTGGGGCTCTGTTCCTCCCACCTTCAAAAGAGCAAGCAGTTTGTTCGTGCTCCTATTATTGTTTTCAGACTGTACAGCACATTGCTCTGACGGGAGCAGAGATAGGACACCTGATGATGTTTCCATGTGTACCCCGCCACATGTTGAAAGCCAGCCCCTCAAGGAAAAAGGGCTGATCATCCCAACTTGGCCTTCAACTTGATAGAGACGAATTTCCCTTTGTTTTTGAAGCCAATCTTTTATGCTGCCCAATAAGTAAAGGATGGCGCTTGGAGGAAGCCAGCAAGGAGGAGAAATCAGAATGTGGTGTTTGCATAGTCCTGGGGATGGAGTCTTGTTTATGTTTTTCTGTTTGGTAGGCAGAAGGTGCTGGGGAGAGGAATAAAGGCAGTAATTTACCAGGGAAGCAAATCAGAAATTGGTGGCTATTGGACAGCGATAGCTCCCTGCTCAATAGATCAGCTTCCAAATGCATGCTGTCCCTCAAAATATATAGCACCCACTGCAGGGTTGACACAGATTTAAGCAAGGATCTTAGTATCTTTAAAAACAACTATCACTGGCAAGGAATTTTAAGTACAAAAAAAACCATCATATTCCTTATTCACTCTTGTCGTTTTCTCTCTCTCCTGGTCTACCTAGTGCCTGAAAATAACTTTTTTCTCTCTCTCATCTTTCCTTCCTCCTTCCCCTTCTCTCTAAATAAAGGTTTTTTTCCCCCTTAAAAAGGGGGTGAGATAGCCAGGATGGGGGAAGAGAAAGAAAGCACCTTCCTCACCATTATAGACAAATAGAAAACCGGATGGGAATGGATGTCTATTTTTAAATCGGATGATGAGCACGTGTGAGGCAGGAATAAAAATGCAACTGCACCAGACAGCTTCCTCAAAGAGCTGTAAATAAAGGCACACACACACACACACACTGCTTTTCCTCAGTCCTAATTGCCAATTCAGGCAGAGGAAAGGAATGGAAAAAAACACAAAAGAGAGAAGTGGGATTTAGGGGAAAGGCAATACACCTGAAAACAGGGAAAGATCGAATTGAATTGTTGGCAGAGGAGAGAACGGCTCTGGAGTGGTGTAAAATTTTAGACTCTGGTCAGAATGATTTAAATGCCACTCTTTTAAAAATGATATATATCTTATTATTTCCTTGATTTCAAAGTAGGCTAAGCCAGCTTTGTTCTCTTTGGGGGGGCTTTGTTAATAGTGCTGAATGGTTGTGTGTGTGTATGTGTGTGTGTGAATTTTTCTGAAACATTCCTCAGTTTAGATTTGGGACTTCCTTGTTAGCTGCATAGTTGTGTAAAAAAAAACAACACCCCAAATATTATGCAAAATGCAGTGCTTGCTCACTCTGTTGCACTGCTCAGCCCTTCTGGTGAATTGATACACCTCTTCCTTCATTGTTACATACAGATGGAGGCAGTCTGGATAGGTTGCCTTTCCCTTCTTCACCAGATAATCTTGATTTATGCTTGTCATATTTTTTTTAAAGGTGTGGCGGCTTATTAAAACGAAAGTGGGCATTTGTGCATCACTGGAAGATATCCCCACCATCTCAAAAAAAAAAAAAAAAAAGCCCACTGAAAATCTTAATGTGAAGATGGAGACTAGTCTAAGACTTTTTAACTGTTTCTTTTCTGGGTAAAGGTCTCAGTTACCTAAAGTTGCCATCCTAGACAGAAACTTAAAAGTTCCACGAAAAGGCAAAGTCAAGCTAGGAAGGCTAAATGAAGCAAGGCAGAGATTGTGTTGCAAAGGCTTCGGTCCAAGAGAGAAATAAGCACCATGGATAGCTCCGGTGCCCAAGCTGCGCGGCAATCCTGCTAGGACAGTGGTTCTCAACCTTTTTAATGCCGCGACCCCCAACTGGTCAGAAGTCGAGGACTACTCAACCGGTCGTAAGTCGAGGACTACTCAACTGGTGCAGCACCGTTAGCAGAAGGGGACTTTTGGCGGGCTCAGCAGGGCAGAGACAGCCTGGACAATTCCTATGGGCTTTGGAAAGCCAATAGACTCTATTCAAGAGAGTCTATTCTATTGGCTTTCAAAAGCCAATAGAATAAAAGGGAGCAGCGCAGCTAAGGAAAAGGGGGGGAAAATGGCGGACTGCGTTGTTTGGCGACCCCTGTGAAATGGTCGTTCGACCCCAAATGGGGTCCCGACCCGCAGGTTGAGAACCACTGTCGTAAGGTAAAGGCTGTTTGTTCGTCATTGTGTGTGCCGCTGCTCCTGCCCTTTCCCTGCCAATCGCAGCTCTTTTGGGCAAATGGAACAGAGTCAAAAGTTTATTTATGTTCAGATGTTTTAACAACTGGTTCATATTTTATGGCATTTGCAATGCCCTGCATCTTTTGCGACCTTTTGACAAGCAACGTCAATGGGGATATCGGATTCACTTAACCACCATGTTACTAATTTAACCACTGCAGTGATTCACGTAACAAATGGGGCAAGAATAGTTGTAAAATGGGACAAAAGTTAACTTTCTCGCTTAGCGACATAAGTTCTGGGCTCAATCATGGATTACCTGTGGTACATCCATCACAATAAAAATCTGGTAGTTACTTCAACTAATCCCTCCATCAAACACTTATGCTTGGAGGGAGCATCTTTTAATCCTCAGCTACCTATATTTCCCAAAGCTAATAATTAAACCTTTAAGTAGATATGTATGGGGTAAACGCTGCAAGAAATCTTACAAAGCACAGAATGGGCCAGAATTCTTTTCATTCCAAAGGGACATGCTCAGCTTTGTCCTGTCCATAATTCCTGAAGAAATCAAGAAGAAATTTGTATTTTCTAACTAATGAACTTTTTTTTTTTTTTGAAGAAAGCTACTGGGATCAAAGTTGGGAATCTGTCAGTGAGCCTCAGTGTTATTAAAAGCTTTCTAGAGACTGATTTGTGCATTTTGCATCTCTTTTAACAATGTCTTTGCTGGCCGATTGACAACCTTAGCTGAATGGAAACCATCCATTGTATTTCTTTCATTCTTTTCCATTTTTTTTCCCCCTGCTCCGAGCTTGGCAACATCTGACTGCCATCTAGCGGAGTCAGGATCTCAAGATTTGTTTAACAGAGAAATCAGAGATGGGAAGTCTCAAAAGAGCACCAAACAGTTGGGATGGTGAACTAGGATTGGAGAAATTTAGGTTTGAATCTATTTTTGGCCATGGAATCTTATAGGTGACTGTTTACTTCTTCCTTTCTCATACTAAGATTTTGCACAGAGAGAAATTCTCCTTTCATAAAGGACTCATGAGAGTTCTTTGTCAGTGTTTGCTTAGGCTAACACTGATCTCGCTTAGAAGGTGAGGCATTTGTTCAGCCAACCACAAGCTGACAGAATTTATTAAAGGAGAGAAAAAAAAAATCTTTCTCTTCTTGGATCTGTTCATCTTTAGGATTTTCTATGACTTTTCTTTCAATAGTCGTTAAGTAAATCACTGCAATTGTTAGATTAGTAACACAGTTAAGTGAATCTGGCTTCCCCATTAACTTTGCTTGTCAAAAGATTATAAAAGCTGATCACATGGCAAAAATAGGTATGATCCAAAGCTTCAGGGGTCTGGAAACTTGTCTGTTTAAAGGAGTAAGCTGGGACAGAATCTGTCCATTTGTGATGTCAAATATCTAAGAATGTTTCATTAACTGTCATTCCGAAAAAAAGCCCAGATCCAAATCGTAGTATTTGGGGCTCTTTCAATGACAGAGCCATGTTGAATGTCAGAGTCTTACAAACACCAGCTGTAATCATTGATAATGGATCTGGATCTTGCAAAGCTGGGATTTCGGGTGAGCCTGAACCAAAATCCATTGTCCCATCTGTGGTTGGTCATTTCAAAGAGAGACCGGAGGAAATTTATATTGGAGGTGGAGCCCTCTCCAGGAAAGGGGCCTTGTTGAGCTATCCTGTTGAACGTGGGATTATTTCCTCTTGGGATGATATGGAGAAGCTGCTGAGATACATCTACAAGTATGAACTTAAAGTGAAACCCAGCACAAGGCCTGCCTTTCTTTCGGAGCCCCCCCGGAATCCACTGAAGAATCGGGAAAAAATCACCGAGCTCATGTTTGAAAGCTTTAAAGTTCCGGCTTTGTATCTTGCGATCCAAGCTACTCTAGCTTTGTATACCTCGGCTCGTACCACCGGTTTGGTGCTGGACAGCGGAGACGGAGTCACCCATGCCGTCCCAATTTACGACGGATACTGCTTACCTCATGGGGTATCCAGACTCCCGGTGGCAGGAAGGGACGTGACGGACTACCTTGCCAATCTCCTTCTGGAGAACAACCCTGCTTTAGTGAGCCGAGCCAAGAAAACTGTGCTGAGGCTCATCAAAGAGAATTTCTGCTATGTGGCTTTGGATCCCAAACAAGAAGCTCAGAAGAAGGTGGAAGAGATTGTGAAGCTCCCCGATGGAAATACCATCAAAGTCCATCTGGATCTCTGCCAAGCGCCAGAAATCCTTTTTACGCCCAAGACCATCGGTGTTGAGGCACCAGGCATCCATACCATGATCGTCAGAAGCATCCGGAAGTGTGACAAGGACATTTGGGCTCCTTTATACGGGAATGTGGTCCTCTCAGGGGGGTCTTCTCTTTTCTGGGGCTTGGACGAAAGAATCTTTAAAGAGATCGAGCATCACGTCCCAGACGGGGTTCCCATACGAATCATAACACCTCCGGAAAGGTCTTGCGCAGCTTGGGTGGGCGCATCTATTATTAGTAACTTGGTATCTTTTCAACCAATGTGGTTTACCCAGGAAGATTACAAAGAATTTGGGGTGGCTGGGATTCACCGGAAGTGTTTTTAGGAAGCCGGGAGGTTAAATTCTGCTGATGAAAATGTAGGAAAAGTGTTTATGGAACCCAAAGCAATTTTTTTTAAAAGCTGATTGGGGAGACTATAAAATGATTAAAAGTGCACAAAGAACAGTCAATTGAGCAACATGTCTCTTGGTTTTGGACAAGGTCTTCATATTTGGATTATTTACATGTGTTTAGCCTTGTTTGAGAAGAGGGGTAGTTTTTATTTATTACTTGAGAAAGGGGTCCAGAATAGGAGAATTTTTTTCAGGCTTCTCCCAGTTTTTCTATTTTTTTCCTACCGAGAGGAAAGTCAAACTTCGTAAGACAGAAAAGGAGAAGGGCAATTTAATGTTTTCTTAACCCTGATATTTTTAAAACTTTTTTGCAATTTTCCAAGTAGAGGATTATATATTTGAAGGATTGGTAAAGCTATATTACAGCTACTTCGGTTAAATCTCTCTGGTTTGTTTTCTAAGGATGCTTGGGCTTACATTTTAGCAAATCTTGGACTTATGTTCCTGGAAAAGTTTGGGAAAGAAACCTATTTTTCTAGGTGCACACCAACACACCAACCTATATTGTCCAGGTTTGCACACAAAACAAGCCAGCCCTGTTACAACCTAGCCGTTGTGTTGTCCTCATGGAATAAACCACGTTGCATTTCAAAACATAAGTTTGCTCAAGCCAGTCCCTAAACTAACCATGAAGGTCCACACCACACAACTAAGCTCAAGTGGGGCTTGGTTAGTTAGAGATGGTGTGTAGAAACAAGATATTCAATATTAACTCTTTAAAATGGCATTCACACAATAGGCTACTATTGGTTAAGATTGAATTTGAGTCTCTTTTTTTTTAAGGGTTTAACATGGTGTACCAATATAAATTTAGGTTAGCTGACAGGCCACTTAACTGTAGAAAAGTTAGAGAAGGGGGTTCATTTCACGATGAGGATAAGCGTCTTGTGTGAATGCAACCTGTCCTGAGAACTCAGCTTCAGAGTTGACCTGTCCTCCAAAAGAGGAGAGACCATAACTCTGGGAATACCTAGCCAAGCATGGAAGGTGTAGTCCCAGTCCTCTGGAAGGCACTGCTGGAAACGAAAGTCTGTCAGGAATCTTCTACCCCGCTCTTCCGGACTCCATTTCCAGCGTTTCTCTAAGGTAACCGCAAGTGGTCACGGGAAATGTATTCCTCCGGGCGGCGAAAAGGCCGCTTCGCGCCGAACGCTCGACGCTTCGCCTACAAATCCCAGGATGCCTTGAGCGAAGCGACGGCGGTTAAACGGATAACCATGGTGCGGTGTACAAGAGGTGCTCCACGGCCGCCAGGGCGGCGCTGTTTTCCCCCGCCTTCAGGCCCTCCCCTTCTATGGAGCGCCGGAAACGGCTTCCATAATACTCTAGAAACGCGAGTTATGGGAGTTGTCCCCCATAATCCCGTTTCTCTTCACCGACCAGGCTGAGAGGACAAAAAACAAAACGCTGATCTTACGGAACTGCAATAAAACAAGAGGGGGAGGTTGGACGGCCGTTCTTGCCCTTCCCCTCTATGATTTGGCAGGCCGGACGGCGGAAGTGAAGGGACGGCGGAAGGGCCCGACACGTCGCCGAGCCCCGCCTTTTCCGCTCTGCGCGGCCGCCATTTTGTTTGTGTGGGAGAGGGAGAAGGAGGAAGCCGCCGCCGGGAGGAGCAGCAGCGTCGTCCCCGCCGCCGTCGGAAGCGTCGCCGCGGGCCCTTCGCCGGCCCCCACCCCTCCCCAGCCCCTCTTTTCTCTCTGTCTTGCCGGGGGGAGCGCCCCGCCAGCCAGCCATGCCCTCGTCGCCGCTCCGGGTGGCTGTGGTTTGCTCCAGTAACCAAAACCGCAGCATGGAGGCCCACAATATCCTCAGGTAACGCCACGAGGCCCCGCTCGCCTGCCAGCCTCCGACCACCACACGGCCCTCCTTCCCTCAAGGCAAAGGGATCCGGGGTTGAAGCAGGGGGGGGGAGAGAGATTCGGGCAGGGAGAGGCCCTGATCGTCGTCACCGGTTCCTCCACAAAACATGACGCCATTTAAACCGTGGGCCAGGGATTCCTCTCCCTTCGAGCGGCAGGAAGAGGACTTTCTCTGCTGGGTTTATATAGATATATATAGAAAGCAGCCAGCAATGGGGGTGTTGAGTCCTAACCCCAAGTATCTGCAGCCTTCCCCCGGCCTGGTACCCTGCGTGGTTTTGATTATTTATTAGAATTATGTATTTATTAGAATTCTGATTATATTTATTAAAGCAATGGGAGTAGAATTCCAGTAAACTATATTATATTTATTAAAGCAATAGGAGTAGAGTTCTAATAAATTATATTTATTAAAGCAATAGTAGAGTTCTAATAAATTATATTTATTAAAGCAATAGGAGTAGAGGTCTAATAAATTATATTAAAGCAATAGGAGTAGAGGTCTAATAAATTATATTTATTAAAGCAATAGGAGTAGAGGTCTAATAAATTACATTTATTAAAGCAATAGTAGTAGAGGTCTAATAAATTATATTAAAGCAATAGGAGTAGAGGTCTAATAAATTATATTTATTAAAGCAATAGGAGTAGAGGTCTAATAAATTATATTAAAGCAATAGGAGTAGAGGTCTAATAAATTATATTTATTAAAGCAATAGGAGTAGAGTTCTAATAAATTATTAGAATTCTACTCCTATTGCTTTAGGAGCAAATGGTGGTCTACATAGATGAGCCCTCCTCCTATTTGCCCCACAACAACCCTGTCAGGTAGCCAGGCTAGAAGAGAATCCTCGCCTTGAAATGATCCTTTAGGTATGTATTGAGGCTGCGTTTCGTACCAAGTTTAGTCAGCTGCCTCTGGATAGATTAAGATTCTTTTTTTAATGCACTCACTCCACAACTTTTTGCCCCTTGGTACATCTTAGATGCTTTTGATTAAAATCTCCATTCTCTCCATTTCCTGTTTGGCATTTGGATTAGGGAAATGGCCTAATTCCAACACCAAACAGGAAGTGGGGATAACACCAAGGCAAGCTCAACTCCTGGGGCCTGTTAGGTCCTGCTTATACTGCTTTATGGCAACAGTACAGAGACAGCTTGCTGTTATTTCTTTCTGTGGTATGTTTAATTCCCTAAGTCAAGACTTTGAATTAATAATCCGTTCGGGGGCTGACCCCACTTGGCTATTTGTGAAGTTAGTTTAAATGCTGCTGCCTGGATTGGACAAAAGGTAAGACTCCCTGGATTTGAATTTAGGTTGTGGTGGTTATACAGGCACATCATCCATGTGTAGAAATTATTTTTTTTTCCCCAAGATGTTTTTTATTTCCTACCTTACATTTCCTGGTGGCCTCCGCTCCAAATAATAACCTGATCTGACTGTGCTTTGGTTTCTGGGATCACCCACAAATGTCTGGGGGTTACCACAACTTCTTTTACCCCTGTCATTCTTGAATTCCACACTTCTAGATCTGTTGCTACATCTTGCCAGGTTTCTTTCAGTCTTCCACCCCCACCTCAGCTCCACCGTGTAAATACTGACTTAAAGGAAAAGGCACACTGTTGTAATTTTAATACCACTTCCTTCATAGAATTTGTAGTTTTTTTCTTCTTTAGATTCATATCTAGGTCAGCGTGTTCTCTGTTCTCAGCCTGCCTTCTGACACAGTTGCTCAACGTTTCACATGTTTTGTTTGCTTTAGTGTTATTCAGAGCTTCCTGTGCACTATTCCCTTTACAAGAGAGCTTCAAATATATGCTAACCACAATTTAAACTGAGTCACTGAGAAGTAAGAGGTGGGGGTGGCAAGTACTTCAGACTCAGAAACTCCAAAGCATTCAGTTTTATTTTGGGGGGGGATGCTTAGGGGTGGCATTTCCCTAACTCAACAAAGACTGCAGAGTCCTGGATGCTGGTTATTTGCTTGGATATTTGAATGTTACCTACCCGATTACCTAACATCATGAAATATTTGCAAGCAAACAGCCAAGCTCAGCACCAGGGGCTCAACCCCAAGTTACAAAAATTCTCTTCTGTTGACATCAGCAAGGATTGGGCATGTGAATGCAATGTTGGCTTTAGTTGGAAGAGGAAAAATGAAGGGTGGGAGAAATGGAATGGAGTACAAATATTCCTCAACTTAACAACAGTTTGTTTAGTGACGGTTTGAATTTACAAGGGCACTGGAAAAAAGCGACTCATGACCATTTTTCACACTTACGACCGTTGAAGCATCCCCATGGTCCTGTGATCAAAATTCAGGCACTTGGCAACTGACTTGTACTTATGACAGTTGCCCTGCCCCGGGATCAAGCACTTGCCTTTTTCAACCTTCTGACAAGCAAAATCAATGGGGAAGCCACATTCGCTTAACAACTGTGTCACTCACTTAACAACTGCAGTGATTCAGTTAACAACTGTGTGGCAAGAAAGGCTCTAAAATGGGGCAAGACTCACTTAACAGATATCTCACTTAGTAACGGACGTTTTGAGTTCAATTACAGTCATAAGTTGAGAACTACCAGTAGTACTTACTAGCTTACTAGAAAGCTAAACACACTTGCTTCAGCAAAGGCAATCACTTGTTTCCCAAACTTCTCATGGTATACTTTTAAATTAGGACAGTGGGAAGAAGACCAACAGGTGATCATTTTCAGACCACTCAGCTTTTCCTGTTTTAGGAGAGGTAGTATTGTGCCTGAGCTTCTCAAAGCCAGATTTTATACCGAACAGATTGTTTTTGCAGTTTCATGAGCTCTGGGCGTAAAGCTTGGTGTCTCTCGTACGTGAATCACTCAAACAACCATGCGAATTGATCAACGTTAACATAATTTTGCAACTGGTTCGTTGAGTATTTGGGTGCCACCCTAGGAGAGCCCTTGAACCCAAGATCTAACCTGATTCTTGCTCTTTTGTTTAATCTCCCTTTTTCTCCTCTGCAAGTGCAGTATTAACAGTCAGCAAAATCGGCTCCCAAATGGCACGTTCTGCCAGAACTTCTGGGTATACGCATAAGTAAAGGCGCCTGGGGGCCGAGTTGTCACTGCAAATTTACCGTGAGGCTGCCAGTAAAATAGCTGTAGATGGTACGAGGTGCAATTATATTTTTGAAGAAATGCCAGCAGAAACAAATC